GAAATAGCAAATAAACATATGAAAAATGTTCAACATTACTGGTCATTCAAGAGATGCAAATGAAAACAACGCTGAGATTCCACCTCACCCCAGAAAGAATGGCTGCCATCAAGAAATCAACCAATAACAAATTGCTGGTGGGGTGTGCAGAAAGAGGAACACTGCTCCACTCCTGGTAGGAGTGTAGACTCGTGCAACCACTGTGGAAATCAGTATGAAGATACCTCAAAGAACTAGGGTTATACGTCCCATTTGACCCAGCTATTCCCCTGGTGGGTATCTTCCCCAAAGAATGAAAAGAATCATACCACAGTGATATATGTGCACCCATGTTCATAGCAACACAATTGGTAATAGCTAAAACTTGGAAACAGCCCAAATGACCATCAAGTGGAGACTGGATAAAGAAAATGTGGGGTTTTTATAAAATGGAGTACTACTCAGCCATAAAAAATGAGAAATTAGACATTTATTGCTAAATGGATGCACACTGAGGTGATACTCTTGTGAAATAAATAGGATACACGTGTAAATACCAAAGAGTTTCTCTAGTGTGAGAAACTGAAAGTGTAAACAAGGACTAAAAGGTATAACAGATAATGTGAAATAGGAAGAAAAGAACCAAAGGGGAAGGGGAAGTGGGAGGCGTAGGGGAAAGGAAAGAAGAGAATGGAATTCATATGAGAAAATGAAAAAATGGAAAGAAAGTCTTTGTAAATAGGGAGGAATGGAGGGGTTGAAGGGAGGGCTGGGCAAGGGTAAAAAAATAAGAACCAAGAGTGTATGTAAAGGTGCAAATTTCCAATGATGAATGTCATTATATCATATACCTAAAATGTACCGATAAAATAAAATTTTTTTAAAGGTATAGATATTAAAAGAAAAGATGTAATAAGGCATATTGTAGCTTACTCTAAAATGATTGTTAAACAGTAAAGTACAGGGTGAAGGGGTACTCTGTTTTACTAAGAACATATTTCCCCTTAAAGTATTCAGCCTTTTTAAACAGAAATGAAGCCGGAAAAGAGGTAGGGATTCAAGGGCTTCTAGGATGACCACTGGGGCAGCTGTAAATTGATAATGAATGGGTGGGTGGGAGGTGCCAAGGGGCCTGCCTTCCAGACCCTTGAGGAGTAGCAGGAGGGCAGTGTCAGTTTAAGTGCCTAAATGGCACTATATTTAAGAATTTTTAAATTACAAACACTGTATATGGAGCTTGATGTAGCAAACAAAGTGTAACAAGTAGCAGCACACTTCAGAACTACTAAAATGTAGGAGTAACTGGATGCAAACACATAGAAGGCCTTCTGGTGCTTCCAAGGGTAATATTGACTAAGAACCAAATGGGTTTCTGCATAGAAAGTAAGAGTTGTACAAGGGAAGAGGGTGGAGCAAGTGATACGAATGACCTTTCATCTGGAAACTCACTGACTTCACATGAGAAACTTACTTGCCAATATTCTCAGGCAGAGACTGCAGTGAAATGTCATTTACAGAGAGACATGTTAAATTCTGTAATTCAGGAAAGCTTTCTGGCAACCTAGAACAAAATAAAAAAAAAGTTTTAATTTAAAACATCCAGCACAAATAGAATGAAAAGAATGAATGAACAGAATTTCTGTATGTTAATTAAAATAGCTTCCTAAAAATCACATTATAAATATCAGGTTTGCCTTGTCTTATCATATATGACACTTTTAAGGAAAAAATAAAGACTCTGTCTACCTCATGGAAGTGCAGGGGCATTTGTTGATAGGGTGATGCAAAAGTAAGTATAAAAAGAACAGACATACAAGTTCTACAATTAAAGGAGCAATAAATGATGTGAGATCTACTAAGTGCTCTTTTAAAGAAAGATAAATTGCTGCTGTGACTCAAAAGTCCAAAGAATAAAAACATTTTATTGATTAGCAGGAAAGAAAGAGAAAATTTCACCAGCCCGTGGGATTATAATAAAACACAGGGCAGCTTCTTCGTAATTTTTCTTCCTATATCTTACAATACCCAGAGCAAAGGATTACTCAGAATTGATTAGCTGACAGCCAAGCCAATAGTTACTTTGTTAACTTTTTCTTTTATTTCAAGATGTCACTTGCTTGAAATAATTATATGTCTCACTATGTGCTACACAAAAGCAATTTTTATGTCCTTTAAGTCCTGCAGAAGAGTAAGGCTTCAAAATAGCACACTGTGTCTTTCATTGTACATTATTTAAAACTTACAAAGAAATCTTAGTTTCAATATTCCTATGGCTGTAGTATTTAGGGAGGAAAATAGTGACTAAAGGCTAAAACATCTTTTTGCATCTACAATGAGATTCAATACAGATGTTGAAGTCTGCTAATAAAGACAATGGAATTAGAACACTGCCACTTTTTTCCAACTTTAGTGATAATCTCTGGGTTAGGCTTTCATTTTTTTTTTCTAGGTTCCTTTCTGAAAAAAAATCCTCTGCTACAGTTTGACATTAAATATAGGTTAATTCCAGACTTTAAAACCAAATCCAGGCTCTCAAAATCAAGGTACTAACTGGAATGTTTATAATCATTGAAATATGTTCTTAGCAACAGCTGAGTAACAAAGGCAACTTTTTTTTTTTTACTTAAAATTCAAATGAATCAAGATATCTGGTCTACTTGAGTTTTCACAGAAATTATACATCATTTAATAATTTTAAAACTAGCTGAACCGAACCTGCCTCACAAGCGCAAGGTTGTGAGTTCCAACCCCAGTACAAAAAAAAAAAAAAACTAGCTGAAATACTCTTAACCATAAAAACAATGTTCTTAATGGCTGGCTTGCTTTTTTGCCAACTGTTAAAGGCAGACTGGTGCAATGTGAGGGGAAAAGCAGAGACTTAAACTTAGGAAAAATGAACGTAAGTCGACTTCCCACTCACTTAGCTGCACAACCTTGAAAGGTCAGCCCATCTGCATGAGTCTCAGTTTCTTCAGCCTTAAAGTCAGGGGGCCAAGCTAAGTTACTTTTCAGGCCCCTTCAACTCACACACTCTGTCCTAAATCTTACTAGCAGCACACCTGCTGTACTGAAACGGCTTTGCTTTAACAAACCTTCGAACTATGTGCTAGGATGAAAAACTATAACAAAGTCTCATATAATCTGGGTGTGTTCGATTTGAGTCTTGGGATAATGATGAAGTCAAGTGTCAGCAGACTTTAGAAAAGGAAAACTAAAGAAACCAAAAAGGAGATTAAGCAACTGAGAGGTTAAAAAACTCAACAGCAGTATTTCCCACCTGGCCTACTCCCCGCAACACACACATACTGCCTTAAACTTAGTTCAGTTCAACATCTGAGTACTTTCTCCACTCCAGGAACAGCCACAGAACTGGGTGGGAGACAGTAACAGATAATAGAGAAATACAATGAACTCTCCCATTACAGCTGGGGAGTCCTGGTCAAAGGGACGACCTAAGTATAGATCTCAAGTGTCATAAAAACCTACACAGAGGATGGGGAGGACGAGAAATGGCTCCCTGAAGATGTGTGAGGTTCAAACTGCATCTTAACAGCGGGTGAAAGGGCTGTAACAGTCAAGGAGAGAGAGACGTGAGATGAGCTAACAAGAAGCGCTTCACTGCTAGAGGAATGCCCAGCACAGGCATCTGGTGGCAGTAAGCGTGGGGAGGCAGGCTTAGCTCAGGTTGACTGGGGAGGCTTGAACCTTACCTTTCAGGATAGGAAGCCATAGAAGGTTTTCAAGAGAGAAAATTGTAGGAAGTTGGCTAGGAAAGAGGATATGACTTAAGGCAGTCATGAGTTAGCAGCTAGGTTACAGATAGACTAGATTACTATTTTCAATCATAAATAATAAATGTAACTCAGTCACTGAAATTCAAAAGAAAAAAACGAAAATTTTAAAAAAACATTTATATCTTGAAAACAAGAAGGTATGGAAAAAGTAAAATAGGGCATTTATCCAGCACTCTATACCCAAGAAGTCCCAAGCAATTTGAAAATTCATAAGATGAATCCCAAATTCTAGCTCAATCTCAAAGGGGGAGTACTACAAGGAGGTTGCTTACAGATTTCTTGAGAAATCCTAGAAATGACCCCACCTAGCCCTGAGAGGCCTCTAACACACACTGCCAGGGCTGCCTCTGCACTGCCCTGTGGGCACCAAGTCAGGTACCCCAGCAACACAGCACCTGGGGCCAGGGTCAGTGGGCTCAGGACCAAGCCAGGAGCTATAAGCAGAGACCATGGCAATGCTACGTGCCATGCCTGGGCACAGGCTGTGAGACACAGAAAGGGCAGAGCTGGAAGGGTGGAGCTGGAACACAGAATAAAACAGTGACTGGTGGCTTTATCCTGGAGGGATAAACTCAAAGAAATTCCTGCAGATATTGCTAAAGTAAGGAAATAATAGTGTTTATAGGGCTTCATTTTGTCTTTTTAAAGGAGAGTTATAATAAAGTTAGATTATAAATTTGTAAGTCTAATAAGATCTCTCCTTGGATAACTACTGAGTAAGCTCTCTGTGGGTTTGGAACTCAGTCTTACCTCACAAGAAGGGAGGGATAAACGGGGAATTTATAAACCATTACCATTCTTCAAATTGCGTCAGAAAAGCACTCCTTACCCCTCAGTGCCACCCCTCCTCCATTTCAGCATCCTCTCAATCCTTCTATCAGCAGCACTGTGCTTCTCCTTGTACATTTACTTCTAAATAAATACCTGGGAGAATCAGCTATCCTTGATAAAGACAGTGAGTGATTCATCTAGGCTCTCCCAGATAGGTAACCTGGGTGAGTCCTCTGCTGGCTCCCAGAAAAGTCACATTTAGCACCAAGGAGGAAGAGTAAGGATAAATCACCTGGTCAGTGGGTTCCCGCTGAAGTCGGCTATCTGCAGTGCTTTACAGAATGAGATGCTCTCTGGAATCTCCGGGATGTCTGCAGGAGTAAAGAGAATATGTCACCATTGTTAAAATCTTTATTGTTTTCAAGGTAGACCACAATCACAATAGACTATCCAGAAACTACTACCTCTATTCAGATGTGGCACAGATTTATAAGGTGTTTTTCTGCATTTATTCTTGCTTTCCTAACAGAAGATACATTCGTAACAGAAAAATACGAAAAAGAACAATCACCACCAGCCCACCATCAGCAAGTCCCACTGCCTTACCACAGTCATTGGTGGAATTCAGTCCTAACCCCTTCTAGACTTGTTTTGTTGTTTTCATGTGGTTGTATCAGTACAAGATATTCTAAAGTAGTACATTTTTAAAATATGGATTTTCTCCTTATTAGAAATGTAGGAATTTGGAAAATATAGAAAAATATAAAGAAAATAAAAAATACCAACACTTATCACCCAGAGATAATGCTTTATCCCAAAGTGTTTTCATAGTTGGCATTCATGTACACATACACACACACACACACACACACACACACAAACGCACATGCACAGTATATATATGTATAATGTATAGTTTTGTGAAATAATCTGGGCTAGTGATATTTTTTAAATTTACATTATTTTATCAACTTTTTCCTATCAATTTTCTACATTTTGCCATTTTTAAATAGCAGAAAAAATACACTTACATACACTTTCAGACTTCGTTTAATCAATGCTCTATTGTTGAACATTTAGGTTGTTTCCAAGTTCCTGATGTTGTAATTGTATTTGTGCCCATTTCAGATTATTTCCTTAGGCTAAGTTCCCAGAAGTAGAATTACGGTGTCAAAGGCATTAACGTCCTTACAGAACTTGATAAATATTGCCAAATTGCTTTAGGGGGGAGGCAGACTGTAACAATTTATACTTCCATCAGCCTAGACAAGGTGCTCAATTCAACAACCAAAAGTGTTGTTTTGAATTCCATCTTCTCTCAGTACAAACCCTGAGACCATAGTCCTTTAAACTGTTCATTTATAGCATTTAATTTCAAAAATACATTTGTTTGGGACTATTTACATGGAGAAGGGCTAAAACAGAAAAGGTTCTTTTGGTCGAAGGTGGCTTCTTCAACAAGCGCAAGCTGAGCCAGAACACAATATTTCTAAACGGGGTGTGGCTGGAAGCAGGGAGAAATGAGGGGAAGAGAAACTCCTGCCCCTGACAACCTCAAATAATCAGATGTACATGAAATCTTTCACTTCAGTCAAACTGAAAAGCTCAAAACATGTGACTATGTTTAACATTTATCTCACACTATTACCTGCTTTGCCTGGTCATGTACAATAGAGAAAAACAAACACTGTACTATGATCCTCACTTCATAAATATGATACATAGAGAGATAATCTTATCTACAGTGGTTCTAGAATGGATTTTTATTTTTATTTTTATTCTTTTTGGTACCGGGGATCGAACTCGGGTCCTTGCACTTGCACAGCAGGCGGAGAAACCACTGAGCTAAATCCCCGGCCCTAGAATGGATTTTTAAAACCTACAAACATTTGTGAGCACTGAGGTGCAAATATAGCAGTAGCCCCTTTTATAAATATTATCTATTCCTTTCAAAAATGTATTATTTTAGCCAGGGATAGTGGCATATATCTATAATCTCAGCACTTTGGGAGGCTGAGGCAGAAGGATACCATATATCAACCAAACTGAGCTCAATTTGGGCAAGTTAGTGACTTAGTGACACCTCTCTCAAAATAAAAAAGAGCTGGGGATGTAGATCAATGCAGAGAGAAACACAGAGACAGAGACAGGGAGAAATAGACAGACAATACATACAATTTAACTTGCATTGCACAAACAGGTACTAAAACTCAGCCAGATAGTGTCCCTTGCTCATCACCACAGGCCTGAGTGTGTCACTCCCACACTGCACCTGGGGCATGGCTGTGCTCATACACTTATGACTCAGGCACCATAGCACCGCTGTTCAGGCAAGAGCGGCAGCCACATGTCAGCCTGGACACCCCATGACAATCTTCCTTCCTGATGCTCCTTTGGGTCCTGGGAAGAGGTCTACATAAGGCTGAGAAAAAAGAGGCCTCACAAGTGCTGAGGAAGACAACCATGCCACACAACCAAATGCAAATTCTATAGGAGTGTGCTGCTCTATCAAAGAAAAAGAAAAGTAATTGCTGAGGGTAAGAAAGAAAAATAAGACAGAAGTCTTTACTGTTACACAGTACATCAGAAACATCTCTGAGGCCTGAGAAGATAAGTCAACCAAGACTGAGCTGGAATGGAGTCCATAACGGCTGGAGAGCCTGGCTGAACTGAGTGCAGACAGAGACCTGGGGCCCGAGGGTGGAAGGCACTCCCTCTCTGGGCCAACCTGCTGAGGATGTAAATCAGTGATAGGAACAGGACCAAACACTTCTTTCCACCACATGCAATTCTTAACTGGACCCTTTGCACTATTTGCCCATAAAATAAAAGCTTTCAACAAGAAAAGCAAGAGTATGGTTTAGAGTACTGATTATTGGTTTGCTTTAAGGAAATTACTTAAATACATCAGAATGGAAAGTGGAGGTAGAAAGGAGAACAACTACTCACCTTGAAATACACTGCGCTCAACTAAAATGTCACACCCCCCAGGGACACTTTGCTGAGCCATAAGCTCAGTTTGGGTCTCCCTGCTCTCAAGCTCCTTGGGGTTTTGTAAGATTTCTTTCAGTGTTAATCACATGACTGGTTATGGTCAATTGATTTTCCTGAACCCCAAACTCACTGGGAAGAGGCTGTGTTGGCCTTGCCAGCATGTACAGCCGAGAAACTAACACTACTAATCCTCTCCCAACACAGCTGCTCTTTCCCTGAGCCATGATATACCCCACAGGACAGGTGTTACCGCCACTCATCAGTAAGAAAATGGCTTAGTCCAGGTCTCACACACAAAAAGAGATGTAGGTTATTCCCAGCAGAAATCCCTTAGCTGATGGCCAAATGCTCTGCTGGGGACAAATGTGGGGGTTAAGACTAGCAGGACGGGCGAAAAATCACCTCCATGGGGTCTGCTCTGCTCACCTACCTCCTTAAAATGTTTTCTTGCACCCCTCTACATACACATCCAGTTCCCAAATCCTTTTGATATTCGTGATTTTTCTCCCCCTCTTCCTGTCCACTCCTGTCATGATCAGCCTCACTCAGGTCCTAGTCACCAGATGATGACAGCCTCCTACCAAGTGTCACTGGTATCCAGTGCATCCTCGTCATATTCACACAGCCACGAGAGCTGTGTCAGTTCTACCCGCTGGCTAAGAATGAGTCCCAACTAAACTCTTAGCCTACCTGTGCCTCAATTTCCTTATCTGTAAAATGGACCCTCCACCACAAGTCTTTTTAAATAATGCTAGCAGCCCATAACATAAATGCTACAAAAGTTCTGAGGAAGGAGAATATCAGACAAAGAAGGACTTTGTTATACTCTGAACCGGTTAAGAGCAGAGGAGCAGCCCAGGCACAAAGGTGACACTTGATGCAAAGTGAGGAGAGGGTGCACCCTGGGGAAACTCATAGTCTGCCTGAGTACCCTTCCAGGTATCTCAACAGGAGCCTGAATGGAGAAAGGGCTGGGAAGGTCTCTCAACAGTAGGTTTCCGTTTGCCAGGTCCAGCTATGGACAACTAATGTGCCGGTAAGGATTTCTCATTGTATAAAAGGGGATACAGCAATCATACATCCAACTTAGGGAGGGCTGCTCTAAGGATAAAAAGGCCAACCAAACTAAAGAAGAGAAGTATCATTAATGGAGACAAGATTTGAAGGGTTTCTGCTATTGTTTCAATTATCTGAGAGGCAATGATTAAACCCTGAATAAGCATCTATTTACATGAAAGTATTAGAAATACTTGTTATTACTCACTCAGTATTATTATATACCTACTATACTAATAGTATTACTAATGAGATTTTCAATTACTTATTAAGGTATGTAACCCAAAACAACCACTTGTCAAGACTCAGCTGATGAAAAAGTTGGCCATGACGGTATAATAAACAAAAATTTTAAATCATATCTCCTATTAATTCATGCTGTGCTCATCCTACGTAAACTCTAGAATGGAATTGTGCTTTTCATCTCAGCCGTGCACATGCCATCCAGACCCAGGAAGACCAGCAACTTCGGGGCCAGCAAGCCCAGGGTGTGCAGGCAAGCAATGAGCACACCCAGGAGCCAGGGAAGGCTGGTGGCAAGCATCACCACAGAGCCAACTCTGACAAATCGCACCCCAGTTCCCTTGGGAAGGTCGGTACGAGAAAGGACTGCTCAGTGCCCAGAGCCTCTGCCCAACTGTCCACCCTCATAAAGTGTGGGCACTGGTCAGAGGACAGACCGAGGAATGGCTGCCAAAACCAATACTCCAGCAGTCCCATCACTGATACAGTGCGATCCTTCTACTACAGCTACTACGCAGTCTGGGGAAGGGAAGCTCCCAAAGCAGCTGCTCATGAGAAGGCCAAGCTCTTCTGCAGGACTGAGGAGAACATGGAGGGTGTTTAGGAGGACTGTGTCCTGGAGGCTTGAAGCCACACAAAAGGAGCTCATTAGATGCTAAATGCTTCTCTTTTTGGTCTGAGTGTAGGTTCTCTGTCATCCTTGGCTCCCGGCCTGTATATGGGTTCTAGTAGTCGGACTCTTCTGCTGACTCCCCTAAAACATACCAGAGAGACAGCACCAACACTGGGAGGTGTCAGCCAGTGAACCTTTTCACCTGGTGAGAGTGATAGGTATTGATTAAAACACATCCCAAAAGGAAGAAAAAAAAGAATGAAATCATATACTGTAATTTGATATTTACAAAATGATTGGTATTGATTATAAAATTAATCTCTCCCCTTAACTTTCTTAAGGCAACCTTTCACTGGGAGCTACTCTAAGCTCCCATTATTTCCCACTGAGAACTGCTTTCATGATGAGATTTAGTTGTATGGAGGGGGTGGGCGGCCCTTACCAACTCTACTTTATCAACAAAAC